TAGGTCATTATAGATTAAAAATGTTCACCCTTTGGACTAGATGCTTCAAATTTCCCCTGGCTTTATTTACACTACTTAAATTTTGACTTTTCATATACACAAAAGTACTGATCTAGCCTATCATGGTATTTTTTTTCATATCTAAGTTCCAAAACTTTCCTGTGTATCATTTAACCACTGTTGTGGGTTGAATAGTGGCCCCAAAAAGATATGTCCATGCTCTAATCCCTGGAACCTATGAATGCAACCTTATGGTAAAATGGGTCTTTGCAGACGTGATTAAGTCAGGGATCTCCAAGACATCACCCTGGATTATCCAGGTGGGCCCTAAATCCAATGACAAGTGTCCTTATAAGAGAAGACATAGAGAAGACCATGTGAAAAGAGGCAGAGACTGGAGTTACGCAGCCAAAAACCAAGGTACACCTGGGAGCCATCAGAAGCTGAAAGATGCAGAAGATTCTCCTCCCTAGAGCCGTCAGGAGTGTGGCCCTGCCAACACGTTGGTTTCAGGCTTCTGGCCTCCAGAAGTGTGAAACAATAAACTTCTGTTGTTCTCAGCCCCCAAGGTTACGGTACTTTGTCACAACAACCTAGGAAACTAATATCGCCACTGTAGCATTTGTTTGGGCACATGGAACAAGGCAAGATCAAATCTCATGTTCTTTAGCAGGGCAATGGTTAAGAGGACCTGCCTTGGGGCTGATCGCCTGGCTTTAAGTCTCAGTTCTGCTTCAATGTACCCACTTTATAGTCACCAGCTTCTGTCTCTGGGATTGGATTGCACACCTACAAGAATCCCTCCCAATTGCCTCCATGAACAACTGCCTCCTTTTGCCATGAGACCAGAACTAGAAGGTGCCCGGCTCCCATTACTGAACATTTTGATCAAAGATTCTATAGAAGAATCTTGCTCAAAAGGAAGGAAACGCAGAACAGGATTTCAGATTCTCATGGAATCCAGACTTTCTGGAGCCACTGAAGCTAGATGAATCCCCAAAACTATTGTCCTGAGATAATTTTTAAACTTTAAATAAAAAATATCCCCTGAAGTCTTCTTTGAACCAAACAATAATTTAGCTGAACTAGTAAAGAATGTCTGCCTTGAGCGCTGTGCTCTTTTAAGATCTATGTGGGATCAGACTGACAACAGCAACTCCAAAGCTTAGATAGGAACCTTAGGGGGCAGTGAGTTTATGTTAATGAGGGAGGAATAGCCCATAAAAGGAGGGCGAGAATGATCGCACAGCTTGAAGAATGTAAACGTCACTGAATTGTACATGTAGAAAGTGTTGAACTGGTGTATGTTCTACTGTGTATATTCTCAACAACAAAAAATAAAAAAAAAAAAGATTCCCTCCTTTACTGGGTTGTCATGAGGATTAAGCATTACCTGTAAGACACTTGACACAGTATCTGACACACAGTAAGCACTCCATAACTTTAGCTACTAATCTTGTTTTAGCCTCTAACTCCCGAGATAGTTGGAACTGACATTAGTTCTCAATTTACAGAGGCTGATTGATGCCTATATGTGACATAACTGAAGTGGTACAAGGTATAGCACTAACCCCAGAACGCGGTATCCATGGTGACACCCCACTATGACTCCGCTGTTCCTCCCATACCGAACAGGGCCTCCGAGGACACAAACACCTGAAGTGAGAAGAGGCTGGGAGCCCTAGCCTTCTGCATCTGGCACTCTCCCTCCTTCTCATGCCCTCATGCCCCAGAAGGCCGACATCCCCAAATCTCTCTCCAGCACCAGCCTCTCCTTGAGTTTTCAACTCATGCTTAAGATGGCCCCTGGATAGCCCACAGGTGATTCAAAAAACACATCCAAAGTGTACTTGCGTGGAGGGCTGACTTCCAGAACTGCAGAGCAAGAATCTTTGTAAATCCAGTCCTGTACAAAAGCAACGAAAATACTGGCAAAATGGTCAAAATCAACTTTTTCAATACGCTGGAAATTAACCAAAGGTTTGCAACAACCTAAGTGTTTATTCAAAATGTACTTGCCCTTTCACCAACCTCCAACTCGTCCCCCCCATATACCAAATCATGTTTAATGAATCCATCCTTGGAGGTCAAGCCTCTAAGGAGAGACTGGAGAGGCACCGACAGCAGCGCATCTTCCATATCCCCACCACACCATAGCCTCACCAAGTCCCATCAACTTTATTCAAGGGTCCTGACTCCACCGCATCCTTTTCACCCCCAGTCACCATCCTGGAGGAAGATCTTCTGTCTAATCCTCCCCCTCACCCATGCTCTTTCCGGCACCAGATTCATATCATTACCTCTGTTTAAAACCCCTCAGTGAGATGCTTCACATCCACTCAAAACCCAAAACTCACTGCCGCGGGGTCGATTCCGACTCACAGCGACCCTATAGGACAGAGCAGAACTACCCTATGCGGTTTCCAAGGCTGTAATCTTTACAAAAGCAGACTGCCACATCTTTCTCTCGCAGAGCGGCTGGTGGGTTCGAATCGCTGACCTTCCAGTTAGCAGCTGAGCACTTTATCCACGGTGCCACCAAGGCTCCTGTCACACCCACTAGGATGGCTATTATCAAAAAAGCAATGGCGAGGATGCAGAGAAACTGGAACCCTTATGCATTGCTGGTGGGACTACAAAATGGTGCAGCCACTGTGGAAAAACTTGGTGGTTCTTTAAAAAGTTAAACATAGAATTCCATTGAAAGTGGGGATTTTCAAACAGATACTTGTACACCATACTTGTTGCAGCATTATTCACAATAGCCAAAAAGTAGAAATAACCCAAGTGTCCATTAACAGATGAAGAGAGAAACAAAATGTAGTATATCCATACAATGGAATATTATTCAGCCATGAAAAAGAAATGGAGTCCTGATACATGCTACAACACGGATGAACCTTGAAACCACCGTGCTAGGTGAAATAAGTCAGACACAAAAGGACAAATGGATTATGATCCCGTTTAAATGAAATAGCTAAAAATAGGCAAATGCATAGACAGAAAGTAGATCAGAGGTTACCAGGAGTTGGAAGGAGGACACAGTTATTGCTTAATGGGTACAGAGCTTCTGTCTGAGGTGACAAAAATGTTCTGGAAATAGTACAGATGGTTGCACAACATCGTGAATACGATACCACTGAATTGTGCACTTAAAAATGGTTTAAATGGCAAATTTTACACTATAATAAAAAAATTTTTTTTAAACCCTCATTAACTCCCTAGAGATAAGACCAAATCTGTACACCAGGGTCTTGCAAACTCTCTACCTGAACTACTTTGCAAAGTTCCTACAGACCCTTTTGTGCTCCAGCATGCTGAGTTGTACAGAAACATCTGGGTGTAACATGACTTGGTCAAAGCCACACCCAACTACCGCTGAGACTTAGTGCTAATGGCAGCTGAGACCACGTGAGAACTCGCTGTGGGCCAAGCGCTGCACAAGCAGGGGACACTTTTATGATCTCATTCAACTGCCTTATGAGGTTGGTATCACTATCTGACTTCACAGATGAGGAAGCTGAAGCTTCCAACCATTTGTCAGCCACATAGTGAGAGTGCCAGGGCCCAAGGGAAAGATGTCACCGCCTCCAGACTCCAGAGAGAAGCCTCAGCCTTTGGGCAGAGTGGTGAGAATCCAGTAACAGAGGCTGCTGGGTTGGGACAGGGAGAAGCCCCAAGTAGAGCGGGGCTTGCAAGGTCATTAGCTCTCTGAAGACTGGTGCTGACAGGCTTCTCAGAGACATCTGGAGGGATGGGCAAGCCCCACAGCACCTGAGGCCTGGACCAAACCGAGGGAGACGCAGGGGAAGGGGCTGCCCAGGGTAGCAGGGCTGCAGCTGTCTGAGCCTGCCTTTAATAGGAGGGCCCTTAGCTCAAGACTTAGTAACTGCTCTCATCATTTAAATGTACATATTTATATCTTTCTTGTCATTACAGTAGATTAAATAACAGATATATTAAGAATGCACAAAGAATTTTGGAAGGCAGTGCTTGAAACTTAAGTCTGGCTAGTTCGAGATTCAATGAGGGAAACCAGAGGAGGTTCGGCTGCCACCTGGTGGAGAAAGGACGGATGAAAAAAGGTCAGATGGAAATTTCTGGCCAAACTGTCTTCAAAGAGCCATGGGTCTCCTCTTTAGATGCAGGTGTTTGGGGGGCCTGTGGGTTGGACCATCCAGTCCACCACACACATGACCACCCCTTTTACTCCCCTCTAATCTTTTTTGCCATTGAAAAACTGGACTCAAAGCTGTGGTTTATATAATCCGATATTTATGTAAGTTTAAGTTATTTAAGTTACTTATTTTTTCATTGCACAATGCTGAAGCCTGTCTAAAAAAAGAATCAAAAACACACCACTGCAAGGTAATTCAATGAAGTTGCTTTTTTACAAATTTGTACAGCAGAACATTCCTCAATCACAATTCCTCAATCACAATTCTATGCTACACAGTCCCGCTGTCCGGTCCGCAGAGAGACCCCAGCAAGAGGAGCTGGGCTGCGGCCGTCCTCTGCAGAGTTCTACCTACAGATGACATTGGGTGTGGAAGAATCTTGAATTCCCTGGGTTCTCCAGTGTATCTTGTACAAAATATTACATTTTTTTTAAACATATATTTACAGAGTTTGCACAAATAGAAAATGGTTACAAATTACAACCAGGCTTGGCAGGATAACAGTTCTACCCCCCATCCCCCATCCAGGCCACAGGTGTAATGACTGCTGCCTATTTACATCTCCATTTAAAAAGTCTGTCTTCCTAGAGGCCTAGGCGGAGTTTATAAATGCCGGAAATTCACTTACATAAAGCTATACAAGTAATTGATATCAGTCAGTCAGTTCAGGTCTTGCTCCCTGAAGGTAGAAGAAAGACTGTGAAGTAAAAGAAACCCTCCCAAGCTAGAAACACACAGCTCTTGGCCTGTCTGCTAAGTGCAGAAATACAACCGTTTTGTTTTGTTTTGTTTTTTTTATGGGGGAGGGCGGGGCGAGGGTGGGAAGGAAGAAGGAGAGAATGGGATGGTGGGGGGAATAGGACAACCTAGTTGAGGCTGTTTTTCAGTATATATATATTTTTTTAGCAGTTTGGAACCACGTTAAGCCAAAGGCCAGCTGGCTTGTTAAACACCACGCCATGGCTCTGAAAAGAACACACAGTTCTCTCCTTTTCTTAGAGACCCAAGGTCTTCTCAATGGGACTACAGTATAGGAAGGAGGAAAAAAAAAACAAAAAAACGAACTTTCTGGGGAGGACAACATTTTGTTATTCTGATGTTAAGTCTTTGCCTTGAGTGCCAAGCTCAATTTTAACAGTGCAAAACAGACTCAAGCAGCGGCTGTTTGGGGGTGAGGGTCAAAGGTTTGTGTAGCAGCTGTCCACCCACTGGGCAAGTCCTCGCTCCACCAGCCACTGGTTTATCAACACCACCTAGAAGAGAAAGTTCCCTTGAGAGCTTTGCCCACGGCACCTGGGGGCAAATTCTCAAGCCAACATGGGATCTTGTTCTTACTATCCCGGGTGAGCACCACAAGCAACAAGCTTACAAGAGTAATGGGGGACGGGTAGCATGACTCATTTTTCTCGGCCAACAGGGATATGTACTTAAATGTTTTTTGGGCCACTTGGACATGAGGATAGGCTTTTCAATATGCTGAAGAAATCGAAGCTTTAATACTGTAAAAATGGAAGGACAGAAAAACCCAATGGACAGGAGGTACAGGAAGGTCTATTAGCAATGTTTCTCACCTTGCAGCACCACTGACATGTTGGGCTGGATCATTCTTTGTTGTAGGTGGCTGTCCTGTGCCTTGTAGGATGCTTAGGTGCATCCCTGGCCTCTACCTACGAGATGCCACTAACACCTCCCCAACTGTGACAACCAGAAATGTCTCTAGACATTGTCAAATGTCCACTGAGGGGCTATAGTTACGTCCTTTTATTAGCTCAAGAGGAAGCAATGCCAGAACCAGCTCCAAATCAACCCTTTACAGTCAGTAACTTAGAAGGAAAAAGGAACAGAACTTACTTCATCTCCAACCACACTCCACAGCTGAATCAGAGGGAGGCCAGCTGGACTGTAACTTGTCACCTACAAAAAAAAAAAACCCACCACCAAGCATGTTTAAAAGCTGGGAGAGTCCATGTACCATCTTCCTAAAGACTGCTGGCCAACCCAGGACCCCAGCAGCAGGGAGGCAGGAATTTAAAGGGCAGCTCCCAAGAAGCCCAGATACTTAACTAAGCAAAGCAAGGGAGGCATTGAGGAAGTGGGGCAGGAGGCCCCTCAGACAGACCCCTGTCCAGTGCCCCCATCTCCCACCTACCACCCACCCACCTGAGCAAGCAATGCTGTGTTTCCTGTCATCTCGCTCATAGCTGCATTTGCTTCAGGTGAAAAGTGCTCATCATCTTTAGAAGGAGAAGGAAAAGCAGCATTTAGATTCCACTGGGACAAGGCATTCTCATCACCTACACGACATTCAGATGTACTCCACGTAGAATCTTCAGACCCTGCAGTGGGACCTGAGAACCCCATTTGGGAGGGTCATCTGCCAGGTAGAGACCACAGGCCCCCACATGACTCCACATGGGTAAACTCAGGGTCCCTGCTGCATGTTACCCACTAGCAGACAGAGGAACAAAGGGACAGAAACCCAGCCTTCGGTGAGCTAAGGAGGCGTTGGGAATGTTACCAACACGACATGCCTGTGCTGAGCACATGGTACGGGTCCTTTTACCCTATGAGACGACAGAAGAGTTATCCCTCTTTACAGGTGAGAACACCTGAGACAAAGGTTGATCACCCAAGGGTCCACCAGCTCCCAGAGTGGTGAAGGTAGAATTTGAGCCATGCAATTGGCCCATCGCCCGATATGGGCTGTCACAATAGCATGCGCAGGGCATGGGAGGCAGCATTTTGCTGCGCTGGCCTATAAAGTTATGTAAAAGAACACACCCAGTGCAAGAGATGGTGAGGATGGGAGAGGCAGGCGTTGAAGATAGTCTGGGAAAAGTCTTCTGGAGCATTTTAACTGGGCCTGGATGGATTGTTAAGATGGACAGAACAGGAAGAGGAAGGTTGGGCAATGAAGGAAAACAAAATGAAGACCATGCCCCAGTTTTCTACGTAACGTGACTCCAGATAGACTGTAGTGCCTCTAGTGCACTTCATTACTTTCAGCAACCAAGAAGATCAGAAAGGGCAAACCCGGGGAGAAAGGGGTGTGGAATGAACAGACCACATCTACAAATATAAAATTCCTATGGCTGCTACTTGTTGACCACCTTCCACATACCAGTTTCTGTACTTATATATTCTTACACCCTGAAAGATTGGTAAATAAACAAACAACAATAAAACAAACTATTGTCATTGATGATGACTCATGGAGACCCCATGTGTTACAGAGTAGAACTGCTCTGTAGGGTTTTCTTGGCTATCATCTTTAAGGAAGCAGATTGCCAGGCCTTTCTTCCACAGTGCCGCTGGGTGGGTTTGAATTACCAACCTTTAAGTTAGTAGTCAGTGCAAACTATTTGTGCCACCCAGGGACCTTGAAAGTAAGGTAGGTACCACCCCCATTTTCCAAAGAGAGAAACTGAGGCCAAGTAATTTGGCTCAGATCACACTGCCAGTCCTCTTTTCTGGCAATGCTATCAGTCTAGGATGCTGGACATGGTGTTAGTGTAGTCCCCACCAGTGCCCCAAAGGAGCTGTGACCCAGCTGAGCAGAGCCGCTAACCTCAGTGTCAGACCTCAGCCCTGGCTGCTAAGACACTGGGTCTGGACTACACTCTGGAAAGTGCCTTTGTTGGAGGCGTTTCAAAGTTAGGTGAAGTCTAGAGCAGTGGTCCTCAAAGGGTGGTCCCTCGACCAGCAGCATCGGCATCACCTGAAAACTTGTTAGAAAGGCAAGTTCTCAGGACCCACCTGACCTACTCAATCAGAAACTCAGAATGCAGCAATCTTCGTTTGCATAAGGTGAGAACCACCTACTCTCAACCCGCCCCCAGCCAGAGGCTCCACCTGTTACCTGACAGGGGCATCACGCTGTCCAGAAGGACTTCTGCTCCCTGGAATGGCAACGTCACAAAGTCTGACCTGTAAAGGTGAGAAAGGAGCAGTTTAACATGGACTTGAAGAATGACTCCACTCCAGGCAGGTATTAACCTTTCGCTGCACTGTGGCACCTGCAATCCAGGACAATGGGCACAGGGCACGGTACTCTGAGGAGTGGGGGTCCCCTGATTGCAAGACGGACCTCAGAGCCCCTTCCTGCATCAAATTCCCAAAAATGATTCCTCTCTTTTGAGATGGGATACTGGAGGAATCCTTTCACAAGACAGGCTTCTCTATCTAGTTCATTTTTGCTGAGGCAAGTAATCAAGTTTGTTCGTATTAGACTTGGCTAAAATAGAGTGGGCAGTGGGAAGGAGAAGTCCATCTCCCGGGCTTGGTAACAGAGCCCACACATTCCACAACAGCAGGGCCCGCCCGCCAGCCCACCTGACTGGGGAGTCTCGACTCACCTGATCTGCCGGAGCACGTCTACTTTCACCCTCTTATATCCACCGTAATCCACGTAGCGAATGTCGACTTCGTTGGTCTCCTCGTAGGAGGCGACCACCTGGGCTCGCCACCAGGCACCGTCCGCCCCAGGGGCAGCACAGATCACTGCTACTGCAGGGCAGGAAGAGGAGTGTGGACACACCTGGCCTGCACAGTCAATGCTGCTCACCTCCCACGTTCCTTCTCAGAGGCCTGCACCTCCTCGGGGCAGGGGATGGGAATGGCAATGAGTCCCCAGCACAGCCTCCCAGAGCCCAGGACTAGCCCAGGAGAGTCCTGGACATGGCACCCTCAGCCTGGCATGTGTGCCACCCCCAAAGCTATCCAGAGCAAAAAGCACTCAACCTAGATCCATTTACTGTGTAACATATGGAAGCCCGAGGTGAATATAGATGAACTGGGACTAAACCAAGTAAAACAGAAAATGGGGGGAATGGACCTGCCCTACATTCTTAAAAGAAAGTCCCTGAGAGAATCAAGAACCTGGAAAGGTAGGCAGCTCTCAGTGGCCTGGCATCTAAGGCCTGCTGTAGCCCAAGATGCTCAGATTGAGGGCCTGACCAGAGGGGACCCCCAGGCCTAGATCCCACTTCTAGCCTTTGCCTCAGGAAGCTGCCAAGAGCACTGATGCAGGGGCAACCAACAAGGCCAGACAGCAAGTCTCCCAAGGGGTCACCGACCTGGATGCTGGGCAGAGAGACAGTGGCAGATGAAACCATGGGTGAAGGTCACCCCTAGCCGCTGCCCCAGGCCTGCTGGGACAAGGGCCTGTGACACAGAGCTGACCACATCATGTGCTGACCCCTAAGGGCAGCCCCTGGTACAACCACCTCTTGGCCTCTGGTTTAGTCTTTATTGCTGGCTTGAGGTGGCTTAGAGAATCTGATGGAAAACTAAATCCTTATTCCTCCCAAAGAAAAATTATACAAAATGCTACATAGAATTTCAAGGAACTTTTCTGATGCCTTGAAGCTCATCGAGGGGCCCTGGGTTAGAGGCAGTAGCCAAGACCCCTGATGGGGTGGGTGGAAAGATGGTCCAACACTCGATCCCCACTGAGGCGGGTGACACAGATAACAGTAGCAAAGGATGGGCTCTGGATCCGACCTGGGTTTGGATTCCAGCACCTGCTCAGGTGTCACCTGGGCAAGTCCTGTGGCTTCAGAAGCTCAGTCTTCTCATCTGTCAAGTGCAGATGGCCCAACCCACTGCACAGGTTCGGTGGGTTTAGAGATCTCTTACGGGAAGCATGTGGTAATGGTAACCAGCATATGCATCAAATGCTTTACACACTCTATGTACAGTTTACAACTCCAATTCCCGGGACAAGTGGGTATACCACCCCATTTAACTTGCTGGAGCTTATAAGTGGCAGAGCTGGGATCTGAATCAAGTGTCAAGACTCCAATCCCATCACCCCATAAGCCAGTAAAAACACTAGCTTTGGCTAGCTAGGAAATTCAGCCTGGCAAGACTCCATGCCAATGGCAAGAACTGAAGGGAGGCTGTGCCCGCAAAGGATCCAGAACAGTCTCCTCCTGGTCAAGATCAAGGGCAGAAGAGGCACTCCCAAAGCATCTCCCCTAGCCTGGCCACAGCCCAGATCCCAGGGCTCCCCACCCCTATCCAGCCCCCAAAGAACACTTACTCTCCACTGGGGTGGGCAAGGTGGGGATCCCGGGCTGAGAGTAGCAGAGGTACATCTGCTGGTCCAGACTGCGCAGTGCATGGAAGGTAGGATGTGTGTGCTGCTGCACGAATAGGTGTCCGGCATTGACCTGGTTGACCACAATCACCTCCACAGTAACACCGTTGGGGAGCATGAGCTGTGGAGAGGAAGGGGAAGGCGCAGCAACTGCTGTAACAACCCTTCTCTTCCCGGGTACGGGATAAGCCCTGGGATTCCACGTCAAGTCTCTGAACTAGTACATCTTCGAAAAGGGCATAACGACCCAAAACAACACAGCACCCAGGTGACAAAGGCTCAAGGAAAACCACTTTAACCACGGAAAGGGTTTGACACCACTGTGGCCCTTGTCCTGCAACACCATGAGCAACCATTAGGGGCACCCTCACCTCAGGGCCAGGCAGAGAGGCTCCCAGCAGATAGTGAACACTCAAGGGCCAAGGGTGGATGTAGTGTTGGGCCTCATGCTGGCCTGGCCAGGGTCCATCCAGAGCTGCCCCTCCCTCCCACCTCTCTTGATGAGTCTGTAAGACCCACGAAGGGTAAATGTGAGAACAAGGTATCAGAGAATAGGATGTGGGCAAGCCCTGAGGCCCCACAGCCGACGCCTTTGGACCTACAGCTGACCCTGGGAGCTTATGATTTGAAAGTGCCTCTCTGCTCTGCCTTCCTAACAGCAAGCAGTGGCCTGCCGTCCATCAGGTCCAGGGTCGAGGTCTGCAACAGTCTGCATCATATTTGCTCTTCTTCCCTTCTATCCCCTAAGTCCTGCTCCTCTTCTCTAAACTCTAGACATTGCCCCAACTCACTTCCCCTTTGCGATTTGGAATATAGGTATGCTCGGTGGCTGGACCCTACATTAAAGGCCCTGGGAAGAAGCCAATATTGCTCTCTGAAGAACTGTCCTTGCACACTACTTTTCCTGATGCCAAGCTACCAACAACAGCTAGCAGTTCCGGACAGGGTAGGGTGCCTACTCCACCTTCTAGCCAGTGGCCACGGAGATAAGAGCCTCTGGCTAAGACTGCCAGCCACCAGCACAGCCTCCCCAGCACTGCTGCTTGACAGGCATCTGAGCTCTCCTCTCCAGTCCCATTAAGCCAAGCACAGCACAAGGGAAGGAAACTGTACAAATCACTCACTTTTTTAAAAATAGAGTGGAACTAGAGCCAAGCCTCCTGGGGGAAAAAAATCCTACACTTCTACATTTCAGGAGTGGAGAGTGGAGTGGGGTTCAATCCACTCCCAAATATCCATAGGGAAGGAAAGGGCCATTCTATCCCTTCCCCCACGGCACAAGGGTCTTTGGTGGGGAAACACAGAACTGAAACATCTCCCACACTAAACATAACCCAGGACAGCAGTTTTCTTGGGGCAGCGCGTTTTGCCCGTCTGTATGAAATGCAATTGTCTCTGACCCACAGAGCCTTGCAATTCTACTCCTGGTGAGATGAGGCCAACCAGGGCCATGGCACACTGAGGGATGCAAAGCCCTGCAGCCACCAGAACGTGGGCCCTCAAGATGTCTGCTCCTCCTCCTGCCAACCCCTCTACTCCCGGCAACCTCCAAGGAGCCATCCTGCTTTCTGGGCTTGGAGGGGGGGGGAAGTTTGCTCTTCTTTACCACCTAGGTATCTCCTGGAGAGAGGGAAGAGGAAGGGAATCCTTCACCATGGCCACTGCTAGGCCTGGCTTGACTGGGAAAAAGGAACAGAACTGACCCATCGCAGGCCCCATCCAAGCCCACGATGGTCACTCCCACGTAGGTGGTGACTGTGGACAAACAACAGCTTTAAGAAGCCCCAAAAGCCAGTCTGGACACACCGTCTCCTGGCTGGACTAGAATCTTTTCTGGGAAAATGCCTAGAAAATGCAAAGGGGGTCCGGGTAGCAGAGCTGGGGGAAGTGGTCTTTCAAAGGGACCTAGAGGCCTCTGGTTTCCTGCCTAGCACTGCACCCTACTCCTGCCTCCCACCCCCATCCCCAGAGAACACAGGCTGGCAGAACTGACCAGTGGAGGCCAGAGGTGAGAGGACACAGGCGTGAACGTGCTATTGGCCTTCTTGGCCCACGGTCTTGGGAGTTTCTTGCTGGAGTGGTTTGGGGGCCAGGGGCACAAGAAGTCCTGATGACACGGGGGGCATGCTCACCCAGGAGGTCATTGGTAGAGAAGGCAGTGCCAGTGAAGGCAGTGGGGGAGCATAGATATTGGTGAGGTTCAGCTCCTTGAACTTCTTCCCAATCAAGTTCAGTGCTTTGTCCACATGATGCTGAGAGCCTACATGGGGGATGAGGGATGGGGGAAAGTGAGAGATGGGAGCAGGGCGGAAATCACTGTGGGTAAAAGAAACATCTCAGCAAAACAAACTCAATACTGCACCTCCAGACCCTTTTCTAGAGTTCAGAGCAGCTGTAAGGGGCCAAAACGCTGAGCTTTGCCTTACAAAACCGACATTTAAAGAAGTGGGAAAACTGATCACCTTTCAAGTGACCCCTCTGCCGCTAGGGTCTGTAGTTTGAACGTGCAGGAGGCCAGCCGGTGGGGAAAGGCCTGGTTCCCGCTGACCAGAGAGAGAGAACTCACACACAAGGTACTTCTGCTCTGTGAGGGGGCCCATGTCGGGCAGCAGGCACTGTAAATCCAGGACCCCAGCCCCACCTATCCAAGCACCTGCTTCTCTCCTGGCCAGCAGATCTGGTAGGGAAGCGACCTGAATCTCCTTCAAGCAACTGAATGGGGGAGAGGGCTGAAGGGATGTACCCAACTCACCCTTCACCTGGGATGAGAAGCAGGGCTTTCTATTCAGAGGCTTAGACTCCAAAGGGTAGCACCTGAGGCTCAAATGCTTCCATTTACGTGCATCTCGGGTGACAAAACTAAATGCATCGTAGCAGTGGCCACTGACCTTCTATGTGGCAGATCTGGATGTTCTGGGTGTAGGGTAGGGTTGAAATGTAGATCTTGGCACCAGATGTTTGCTTCAGAAAACTCACGTACCGCCCCTGCTTGCCAATTAGCCGACCAACTAAGTGCTTCCGGAGAGAAGAGAGAGAGGAGGGTTAATGGGAAGTCAATTCCCCACACTCCCAAAGACCTAACTTTGTTTCAAACAAGGGTAAGTTTAGACGTATTGTTAACTTAAAATTTTAGCCAGACACTGTTCTAAGCACTTACATTTAGTCATTAAAAAAAAAAGTTGCTATCAAGTTGACGCTGACTCATGGCGACCTCATGTGTGTCAGAACAGACCTGTGCTCCATAGGGTTTTCAATGGCTGATTTTTTAAAACAGATTGCAGCCTTTCTTCTGAGGCACCTCTGGGTGGACTTGAACCTCAAACCTTTCAGTTACTACCAAGTGCATTAACCATTTGCACTACCCAAAGACTCCATGTTTACTCATAGTACCTATGAAACAGGTACCTTTATCACCATTTTATAGATGGGAAACAAGCCCAGAGAGGCTAAGTAACTTGCCAAGGTCACACAGCATGTGAACTTGGCTGGTTAGCTCCAGCAGCTCTGATCCAGGCTCAGAAAGCTGCAAAGGCAGCGGCAACTCCAAAACTTCCGCTATGAGAAGTTTTGCTCAGCCTAAGGGTCAGTTTACAACTCTGTACTGACCCTTCCCCCTCAGGACCGCTCAGGTCCAAAGATACAACCAAACCCCAATGCTGCTGAGTCGATTCTGACTCATAGCAACCCTAGAGGACAGAGCAGAACTGCCCCATAGGGTTTCCAAGGCAGTCACCTTTACAGAAGCTGACTGCCACATCTTTCTCCTGCGGAGCAGCTGGTGGGTTGAACGCTAACCTTTCAGTTAGTGGCCGAGTGCTTTAACCACTGCACCACCTGGGCTCCTTCCAAAGATAAGGGAGCTCAATTAGAAAATAAAGGTCTAAGAACCCCTGGGCTCCTGCTGCCAGTTCACAGTATGCCAGAGCCTTCAGCAAATCCAGAGGGAGAGATGCAGAAATGCCTAGTGTGCCAGAGTACAAGGCCAAGCTTAGCCATGATGTAAGACAAGCTCCGAAACAATCCCGAACGACCCCAATCCCAGCTGAGCTTCTAGGGACATGGTCCGTGTTCACCCACAGACTGCCTCACATGGGACCTTTGCAACCACAGAAGGGGAAGAGGGCAGGAGCGCAAACAAGGTCAGCGAGGAAGACACAGCCAAGGGAGCCAGCAGCCCAGGGTCAAACAGCCTGCCTGACCTGGAGTTCAGACCAAGCCAAGTCCTCACCTCAGGAGGGAGCTGAACGCCCTAGGAGAGTACAGCCTGCCAGTTACTTCTGAGCCCCAGAGACAAACTTAAAGATCAAACTAATAAACTGTAAGTTATAACAGCAAGAAGCTGGAAACCACTTAAGTACCCTGGAATTGGGGACTGGTGAAGAAAACTGACATTCATACAATGAATAATACAGTTAAAATTATACTTTCAAAGAATAACACAGGAAAATTAAATTGTTAAATATTTAAAAGCATTAATTAAAGCGATATAAGCTCAGTTTTGTTTAAAAACCACAGGGTGCAAGATGAGAAGAAAATAAAAGTCTTAACAGTCACTCTCAGGGGTAGGATTAGAGCTGGTTTTTATTTTCTTCATACATTTCTGTACTTTTCAAGTTCTCTAAAATACGTTATTTGCGCTTTTCTCAATTAGAAAGTAGACTCTGCATTGAAGCGTGTGAGCTGTCATAAGCTGCGGCCTGAACAGAGCACAGAGAAAGGCTTCTCATGCCCCTAGCCCTCGGTCTGGTTTTTTACTAGCATTTCCGACAGGTAACAAAGCTGAGTCCTGGAGCACACAAGCAAAGCCCACAGGGAGATCAGCAGGCCTGCAAGTTTGAGGAGGATACAACTAAGACACTCCTGAAGGGGCTGGAGGAACTCTACTTGGCAGGAAGCTCTCAGAATCTGGGCAAAGTGCAGTGTTCCATTCCCTCCCGCCTTCAGCTCACTCAGGGCTTCTTCTGGTCCCCAGTCCATCCCCCAGCCCTCTCAAGTCTGCCAGCCAGAGCCAGCGGGAACTTGGAGTCTGCCCCTGGACTGGCGGCACTCGGCCAGCAGGGATGCCGGGCCCTTACCTTCGGCACCTCGATCTCCCAGATGATGAGGTCGACCTTCTTGGGGTCGGAGCCTGCCTGGGTGCTCTGGAAACCATCCGTCTTTTTGAGGCTGCAGCAGCTATCCACTGAGTCCATGCTGTTCCCGTCGGAACCTGCGGGGGAGGAAGAGGCACCGCACACACACAGGCACCGGCTCAGAGAAGCCAACACTGCAAACTTCCTAAACTCACATTCCTGGGGGCCCCCACCCCACACCCCCTCCTCAAGCTTGGCAGGTGACTGCCAACTCACAGTCTAGAAAGATCAGAACCCCAGTGAAAGGAGGACCGGGGGTGTAGATACACCTAATTTTAGCCTGTCACTTACAGTCCTACTTGCTCAACTGGCAGCCACACCCAGCCACAGCTGCTGGAGCAGAGACAAGTGGTGAACTCAGTGCCCAGGGAAGGGGAGCCCACAGGGTGGGGAGAAGGGGCCTCGGCAGCCTGATTACAACTGTTTTGACACCCTACCAACTATCCCAGTCACAGACTGAGGATCTCCAGTCCCCAAAGCTCCAGGCCGATGGTCAGAGGCGGTGGCCTCCATCCCAGCAGAACTAGATAAGAGTCCTCGCTGGCATGTCTGAAGCCGAGTCTCCTCCCTGACCAGGCCAGCAGTGGACAAAGAGAAGGAGGGCCTCCATCCCCTCTGCTTAGTCCTGACCTGAGCATCACTGAACGCTTATTTGGACTCACAGCTGGTCTTTGCCCTCTGGTCAACTGACTGAGCTGAAGTGCATTCCAAGGGGGACGGCCACGGAGGCAAGACTGCACTGACTTGGGCTGCTCCCAACGGCACTGTCACTCAAGACCAAGCCAAGAGAGCCGCTGCAGAAAAACTGGTGTCCAGACCAGCTGATGAGAAGTGGCTCTGGCTTCCATGTGGACTCAAGAGCTAGAAATAGATCACTCTTGAGACTCCACTAATTAGGTTATTTTCCACATGCTTTCTCCAAACCCTAGGCATAACCTTTTGCTAAGCAGTCAATGATCTGTCTGGATGTAGAGGACTAGAGCTTAAACAGATTCTGCTCTCAGCTAGAGAGAGTCACCTTCAAAGTCTACCCCGTTCCTCCACACCAGAGGCTCAGAAAGGGCTTCACAGCAGGGAAGCTCTTCCTCTGACAGAAGTCTGCTTGTCCTGCCTGCTAGATGCAGTAGCAGGCTGATGGCAGCTCTGCTAGCAAGAGCCCCCAGCCTTTGCTGGACACCCCTGACGGCACCCGAGTAGCTGAGAACTACATTAGGTCAACAGCAGGCTGCATCCAGAGCCAGCTTCCAGCTCCCTCAACCCAGCAGCCCCTGGGCCGCTCTGAGCATGAATCTCCTATGCACAAAGCAGGGATAATGTGAGAATGCACGGAAGGCATGAGTCTGGCACCTGGGACATGCTGAGAGATTAACAGATGCTATCACAGGCTTCTACCTACCACCCTAAACCCCTCCCTGCCCATCAGCACGGCTCAGATGCAGCCTTCTCTTCTGCTGAGCCTCAACTCAGGGGCCTCCAACACATGTGAGCAGCTACTACACAGTTAGCATGACAAGCCTGAGGGGTTACAATCAGTCTAAAGCTGGCATGACAAGTCTGAGAGGCAGCAGGCAAAGGGAAATACCTTTGTTCTTTAAAAAAAAAATGTAACATCCCTGAAGTTAAGATACGTCTTATAGTCTCTGGCCTTTTACAATCATGACTGTAGCATTCTTTTCTCTCAGAGGTACATGAGTCAGTAGTGTCTTAAGTCAAGAGCATCTTAGATGCAACGAAGTAAGCGTGCGGCACCTGCCAGGTGCTGCTGAAAGAAGCAAACTTCCTGAGATCCCCAACCTTCTTGGAGCTGCCGTGGCAGGGAAGGGCTCCCGGACAAACAAGCCAGAGACCCATGCAGTTAACTCGTGGCCTCTTTCCACAAGATAAACAAAAATACCCCAGGGTAGCTGCAAAGGCAGGGTCAGGAGCTGCTGACCTGTAAGTTAGCGGTCTGAACTGTCTACGATGGGGTCAGCACTCGAAAAACCCAGTGGACACTTCATTACCAAAGTGCCCCTCTTTCCCGGGGGTGGAACTGCAGCTGCACAGAAAGAAAATAGCTGAGGCTCTCTGCGAAGGAATAGGTGACAGCAACAACTCAGGAAAGCTTGAGCTCCCACAAGTATTCAAAGCTGTGGCCATTCTTTGGGCACTTACCCTGTAAGAGCTTCTGGAGAAGGAAAGCAGGTGAAGACGTGGGAACAAGCACATGATTAAAAGGAAATAAGCCATTAAAAGAAAAACTCATACCCATACTTGGCATTCAAGGGCAATACAGCTAAGGAGGCCTCTCCAGGAAAAAAACCAACAAGAGGTTAGCATTTAAAAGAGGCGAAGAGGCACACCTACGCTAATCAGTGACCCCAGCTTTAGGCTGGTCCCTTCAGAAGGACTAAGGAGGGTCACTGGCTGCTGTAGCAAGTTACGGTTCCCGTGGCTTTGGGGTTTCAAGGTCACCCACCAGCTCTACGCTGAATCCCATCTCTTCTGCTGGTTGGGATACAGAAGTGAAGAGCACCATTCCTTTGAGTCGGAGAGGAAGAGGCGGACCAGCAGCCTTTCCCCAGTGAATAGAGGGAGACCCACCCGCTCATCTATGTAGTGAACACCCAAGACCCTCCTACCTCCCGAATGGTCTGTTTCTGCGTCCATGCTCCATCCATCCTCAGCCCCCAAGTCTGACAACTCCTCCTTCAGCACCCCGTTGCTGAAGGGCACAGTACTTTCCGGCAACGGCGGGGTGATGTCCTTGTCCCTGGGGCTCGAGTTGGTGTCTGTGCAAGAGTCTTCGAGCCCTGAAGTGCTGGCAGAATCTGAGCACTGGCCCAAGGAGCCCACGGATGGGACACACTGGCTGCTGTCCAACGCGCAGGTGACGCGGCTGGCATCTTCCGCCAGGACGCTTGCCTCATCTAGCGACTCTCTGAGGGAGGTGGCCCGTGACGGGCAGGGGGCCAGTGAGATGTGGTGCGCAGAGTTCCTGGGTGGCTTACCGTCCTTGGTGGGGCTGGAGAGAGGGCTGTTCAGGCAGCTCACGTAGGTCTTTGGTGGGGATGGGTCCTCTGCTGGCTGGCCTGACGAGGGCAGGGCAGCATCCACTGTGTCTGCGGCTGCTTCTGCCGTGGCTGGAGTGGACTCCACAGCGTCTTGCCCCAGGACAGCCTCCTGGCTGATGGGAGCACAGCTCTTCTCCTCTGGCCCCTGGAGCTCACTGTCCGAGGCCTGACACACCCGATCCGTAATCCTGCCCACCGTGGTGGCCTGCACTTCTTCGGTTGCTTCCATGATCACTTTGGAGATGATCTGGAAGGCAGCCTGCTCAAGCTTCTCATTTTTATCCACCATCTCCTCTTTGCCCGCTTCTCCTGCAAGGTCTCCGTCCTGGGGCTTGCCACCTCTGATTTCAGGTGCCGGCACTTCCTCATCCTTTGCCAGCTCGGCGTGAGCCGACTCAATGAAGCTACTTATCACCTTCCCTGCCACATACTCTTCCTTCTGCACTGGCCCGGCCCCCTGCCCCTGATGCAGGCTGGTCTTCCCTTTCTCTTCCCCTCCTCCTAAAGGAGCCAGGCTGGGCACTTTGCTATTCTCCACCTCAGAGACATGCTCCTGGGACAAAACACCTTCTTCTAGTACTTTTTCTCCTGCCACTGCGTCGCCAGTCCCTTCTGCCCACCCTGTCTCCCTTGCCTTCTCCCCAGGGCCACGCTTTTCTGTGAGGGCGGCAGACTGGCCTGGCCAGGCCCTCCCTGGCGTTCTGCTGAACATGGGCTCTTGCTTACCCACCTCGACCGCTTCGTGGGGGAATGGTACCCCCTTTGGGGATGGAAGGGGACACTCTAGAGGAATAGACTTTGCTTCGTCACAAGTTAGGGCTAATTCCAGCTTCGTACTGTCATCTTTGCGTGTTCCCAGTCGAGATCTTGTGTCCGTGGTGTTAAGAAGGCTGCCTGAGGACTCTGATCTACGAGGGGCTGGTTGTGCCCGCAGCAAGGCTGGGGGCTCCATGGAAGGCTTACTCATGGTGGACAGTTCCTTTTCTGGTGGCTGTGTGACACTGAGGGGTGTTGGCACGACTCTGGGACAGGTGTCATCCGTGAGGAGCAGACCCTCAATTGGAGGGTCTGTCCCCAGTTCCACGGCACTGGCCTCCACCTGCTTGTCGTGGCTGCTGATGCGTTCTTTTTTACGAGAGACAAACCACCACCAGCCAAGGAGCGCCAGCATCCCAGGCAGCACCAAGGGAAAAAGGGAACGGAACTGGATTGCCATCCTGGAGGTTGGACGTAATTAAACCTGGGGAGAGCAGGAGAGAGAGGAGGGATGAAATGAGCGCAGTTGAGGGTATCAGTGTGACTTCTCATGAAAGATCAAACAAGGGCTCTAAGGCCAGAGCTCTCTGCTCGCCCCTTCCTTACTCCCAGAAGGAACACACTAGCACCCACACACTCTGGGTGAGCCACTGGAGGGGGGGGGTGGGAAGAAACACCTCCTTCTTTGTGTTGCCTAATTCATGCACACTCCTTTGAAACAAACCAAGTGTTGTCTTGAAACCAAATCCCTTCCGTCATAGCTTCATGATGCCAAATTCTCCCTACATCCTCCAAATCACAGGTTATGTTTAGTGTGTTTTAGTTCTCTAAACTCCCAGAATGTTTTTATCCATTCGATGGCACTGGCGCATTTTTAGACACCCATAGAACACACACCACACCGTTCCCGCTTGTGGGGGAGGGGAGGCTTTTATACATGGATCTTGGATACTGGAACCTTGCTGAATTTCTTTATCCGTTCTAACAGTTTTTTTGAGTAGACTCCTTGGGATTTCTTATTAGCAAAAAGAGATTTTTTAATTTCTGTTAACAGTGGTTCTTAAACTTGGCTGCACATTAGACTCACTTGGGAAACTTTTGAAAGCCCAATGCCCAGGCTGCACTCCAGACAAATCAGAATCTCTGGGGTGTGACTCAAGCAGCAGATTGTTGGTTTTTAAACAGGTGATTCCAACGTGCAGTCAAGTTTGAGAATCACTATTCTATAACAAAGGAGCCCTGGTGGCACAGTGGTTAAATTAAACGCTCAGCTACTAACTGACAGGTCAGCGGTTGGGACCTATCAGCTGCTCAGCAGAAGAAAGATGTGACAGTCTGCTTTCATAAAGACTACAGCCTTGGAAACCCTATGTGGCAGTTCTACTCTGTCCTATAGGGTCACTAGGAGTCAGAATGAGTTTGGTTTAGCGGGTATTCTATAACAGCTACCAAAAAAAGTGGTAAATCACGGAATATCTGCTTTGTGCTCAATGTCTTTCACACCGAAAAACAAAACAAACAATTTGAGAAAGGAAACAGGCTACAGGGGAGGGAGCGCTCAGGATAGGGTGCCCATTGTCTGCTGTCAGGAAATCAAGTCTTACCCAACAGGGTACATGCTAACAGGAAGTGGAGCTGGAATCTGAACCCAGGTTTTCCTTTGGCAGTAAATTTGGATTCTGATTCCTCCTTAGCTAGGCAATCCCATTTCAGAAGTGTGCGGTTTATAGTTGTGATTCCCCCAGTATTCTGGCATTTCTGTGATCTCCAGAAAAAGATTAAATGGACCAATAAGCACATGAAAAGATGCTCAACGTCATTAGGGAAATACAAATCACAACTACGAGATGTCACTTCATCCTCACTAAGACGGCTATGATTTAAAAAAAAAAAAAAAAAACAGCAGAAAACAACAGGTGTTGGCGAGGATGTGAAGAAATTGGAACCCTCATGCATTGCTGGTGGGACTGTAAAACGGTACAGCCACTGTAAAAAAGTTTAGTGGATCCTCAAAAAGTTAAATACAGAATTACCATATGTTACGTGTCAACTCAGCTAAGCTATGATTCTCAGTGCTTATGTAATTATCCTCCATTTTGTGATCTAACATAAGGGGAGTTTCCTTGGGGTGTGGCCTGCATCCAATATACATGGATGTTCTTGCAAAGCTTGCTCGTGCTCGTGTTCTCTCTCTCGATCCTGCATCACTTGACCTGAACCTAGCCTTAAGACACCATATGACCTAGCAATTCCACTCCTAGGTATATACCCAAGAGACTTGAAAGCAGGAACTCAGACACATGTATACCAATGTTCACTGCAGCACTGCTATTCACAATAGCCAAAAGACAGACTACCAAAATGTCCATGAATGAATGAATGGATAAACAAAGTGTGGTATGTGCATAAAATGGAATATTACTCAGTCATAAAGAGAAATGAAGTCCTGATACATGGTACAGCATGGATGAACCTTGAAAACGTTGTGCTAAGTGAAGTGAGTCAGTCACAAAAGGACAGATATTATATGATCCCACTTATACGAACTATCTAGAACAGGCAAAACTATAGAGACTCAAGTTTATTAGTAATTAACCAAGAATGGGAGAGAAGGGAAAAGAAGGAGTCATTGCTTAGGAGACACTGAACTTCTGTTATGGGTGATGGAAAAATCTGGAAATGGATAGTGGTGATAGTTGCACAACATGATGGACTTAATTAATGTCACCGAATTGTACATGTAAAAGATGCTGAATCAGCAAATGGTTTTAAAATATATATACACACGTACATATTTTTTACCTGCCCCTCCCCCCTCAAAAAAAAAAAAAAGATTAAATGGAATGGGGTAGAGAGGAAGGAAAAGAATCCTTGGTCTCAATCATCCCATAGAGGGTATCTCCCTATTTTACACAGTCATGTATTGAATTGTGTCCCCAAAAAATATGTGTATTAATTTGGCTAGGCCATGATTCCCAGTATTGTGTGATTGTCCACCATTTGGTCATCCAATATGATTTTCCTATGTGTTATAAATCCTACCTCTATGTCAATTTAGCAGGACTCAATCTACAAGATTAGGTTTTGTCTTAAATCAATCTCTGTTGAAATATAAAAGAGAGGAACGAGCAGAGAGACAGGGGGACCTCATACCACCAAGAAAGCAGCACCGGGAGCAGAGTGTGTCCTTTGGACCCAGGGTTCCTGTGTGGAGAAGCTCTTAGTCTAGGGGAAGATTGATGAGAAGGACCTTCCTCCAGAGTTGGCACAGAGAGAAAGCCTTCCTCTGGAGCTAACATCCTAAATTTGGACTTGTAGCCTACTAGACTGTGAGCAAATAAATTTCTCTTTGTTGAAGCCATCCACTTGTGCTATTTCTGTTACAGCTGCACTAGATGACTAAGATAGAATTTGGTACTGAAGTGGGGTGCTGCTCTAACGGATATCTAAAATGTGGAAGCAGTTTTGAAACTGAACGGATAGAGGACAGAGAAGGAAATGAGAACTGTTAACACTGGAGACAGTGCAGATGGTGAGAAGCAGTGCGGACGGTAAGAAGCAGCGGCAGAGAACCGGCAGCGGCAGAGAACCGGCAGCGGCAGAGAACCGGAAGCAGCAGAACCAGGAAACCGTGCAAGACGACACTGTAGCAAGAGAGATGAGAGCCTGTGCGCAGAAGGCTTCCTGGAAGAGTGGTGTGCCTCCGGGCACTTATTGGCAGAGCTAGGCTTGCCGACCCACAGAGCAAGAGAGCTGAGTGCCTTCCGGCTGAAGTTTACTGTCGGAGTGGGGGTGGAGCTACAGAGCTTTGGAACACTTGCCCCAGTAGGGCAGATGTGGGCAGAGAGGCCTGAGGGGCGGAGAAGCCAAGGAACCAGGAAGCGGAAGCTGAAGAGACAAGGAACACAGGAAGCCAAGTTGCCTCCGTCTCAAAGGGTATGGCCACAACCTCTGGGGTTTCAAAGGGTGGAGCCATGGCCTCTGTTGTTTTTAAGGGTGGAGTCACCACTCAGATAGACTAGGAGAATGGTGTACCTAAAGCCGAAGGAGCAGAGTTGCTGTCCCAGTGGTCCTAGAAGGCAGAGCTGAAGCCCAGAGCCAAAGGGCCTCCACTCAGAATCCCTCCACTCAGAATTTGGAGACTGTGGCCAATACCTACAGTGTGGATGGCAAGGCCATTGTATAAATGGTCTCAGAGAACAGAAGATTATTTTCAAGCCTTGAGGGCTAATGTAATGTGTTCTGCTGACTTGCTTGGTGCCTGTTATCCCTTCTTTCCCTCCAATTTCTCCCATTTGTAATGGAAATGTCTAGTTTGTGACTGTTCCACCACTGTACTTTGGAAGCAGATAACTTGTATTCTAGATTTCACAGATGAACAGGAATTTTTGGATTTCGGACTTGGGAGTTGATTTAAGACTTTTGCTATATGATGGGGTAAATATGTTTTACATGTGGCAAGGACATGAAATTTTGGGGGACAAAGGGTGGAATGTCATGGATTGAACTGTGTCCCCCCAAAATATGTGTATCAATTTGGCTAGGCCATGATTCCCAGCATTGTGTGATTGCCCACCATTTTGTCATCTGATGTGATTTTCCTATGTGTTGTAAATCCTACCTCTATGATGTTAATGAGGTGGGATAGGGGCAGTTATGTTAATGAGGCAGGACTCAATCTACAAGATTGGATTGTGTCTTGAGCCAATCTCCTTTGAAATATAAAAGAGAGAAAGCAGAGAGACAGGTGGGCCTCATACCATTAAGAAAGAAGCCCCGGGAGCAGAGCATGTCCTTTGGACCCAGGGTTCCTAAGCTGAGAAGCTCCCAGACCAATGGATGATTGATGATGAAGACCCTCCTCCAGAGGAGACAGAGAAAGACTTCCCTTGGAGCTGATGCCCCATATTTGGACTTGTAGCCTACTAGACTATGAGAAAATAAATTTCCCTTTGTTAAAACCATCCACTTGTGGTATTTCTGTTACAGCAGCACTAGACGACTAAGACACACACCAAGGGAATATGGCCCAAGGCCCTAAGCTCGAATTGGTGTGGTGCTGCAAAATGCCTCTGCAAACAGCTAGGAGAAGCCCCTGCCCTAAAAGTTGACCCTAGGGGTCCTGACTCTCCAGATTGAGAGTTTGCCCATTCCACACCAACACCACACCACCTCCCTAAGATCCCCTAAAACTGACTACAATAAGGCAAAGGCCCAACATTCAAACATGCATTCCAGTCTGGCTTTGGACATACATGCCAAGCAATCCACATTACAACCCAGTCCCCAGCCCCACTATGTCACTGGCCCTCCCACTTCATCATGCGCTCTGTTCTCAAATCTTCACTCACATAGAATGCACAGAACCAGCCACAACACAGGCCCCATCTGCTGCTGTCCTGAAGGACCACTGCCCTGTAGCTCACTGGGACATCATTGTCAGGCTGGTGTCACAGAAACCCCACTCACCCGCCCAACCCTCCC